CCACTGCCTCTTCTCCTTGTGTGTCTTAAACCTTTGTTGCTAAATGTGATTATCTCAACTGAACTCCCTCCCCTCCCTGTTTAACTCCACCCCTGGTGGATGAGTGTCCTCACCTAGTGAGCATGCCTGGTTTGATGGATGTTTTGAGCTGAAAGGTTACAGCGAGAGTTACACATCCACTCATTCATTCAGGTCATGTTGTGATTTTGTGTGCTTTCTCCATTAAACCCCTTCTTTCTCACCTTCTCCCACCCCCCACTCCCTCCCTGCCCTTCTCGTCTTGTCTTCAGACAACCACCCTGGTTCTGCACCCATACTCCAGCTTGCTGCCTCCTCCTTCCAAAACCCCGGTGCTCCCCCTCATGAAACCAAAAGTAAGTTTCTGGGAAGTTAATTACCTGCTGTGTATAATAGTTAGGATATTGTGAGCAGCAGGATGAAATCACCTCCCTGTTTTTTGTTTGTTTTTTTTCCCCTTTCATTTCAAGTTTTCTGTTTGTGTTGACTGCATGTACAGGTCAAAATCTTAAGCTGTACATCTCACCTGCTTTTTAGTGGGATTCTTTGTCACCATATAAAATCATTATTTACAATAGTTTCAACTCATTAATCAATATCATAATCATTTAGTGTTTTATTCAAGGAAGAATTCTGTAGATCCTCTGGTAGATGGTTTTAGGCTGTGAGGTTGACTTTCTTTGTTTTATAATTTTGTATAATAATTGAATTTATTTGAGTTTTGACTCCCAGTTTAAAGAAATCATAATCAGTGAATATGTAAAAAGAGTCTTCTCCTCCTCTCACCCTTTTTTCTAAAATGATCTTCTTTAAAATCCAACCATGTTTCTGAAAAAGCTTGGATGCAAATTGTTACATTTTGTTTTAATTTACAAATCTAATAAGATCTACATTTTACTCGCAATAGAACATAGAAATCATAATAAATGTTTAAACTGAGACATTTTACTAGTTCATGATAAATATTAGCTCAGTTTAGATTTGATCACAGTAACACACCTTTAAAAAAGTCGGGAGGGAGAAAATGGAAGGCTGGAGAAGTAAGTGGTACTAAAAACAAAAAAACAGCTGGTGAAACATTTCAGTGCCTGAATGACTGGGTCTAAAAAGAGCATCTTAGGCTACGTTCACACTGCAGGCCAAAGCGCACCAACTTTTTTGACCCTATGCGAACCATATCTGATCATGGTAGGACAGTTTGAACAGCACAAATCTGATATTTTCAAATCCGACCTAGTTCACTTTGTGGTACTGAATTCGAAACATATCTGATGTTTTAGAAAGCGACTGCTGTTTGAACGGTCATGTCGCATTAAATCCGTCTTTTACGTCACTGCCACAAGACAGATGCCAGTTATCAGCGTCGGAGAAGACAAACGAGAAAGCATGGTGGCCATTGTTAAAGGACGGGCTCTCTTTTTTCTCAGTGTCCTTCTTTCGCTAATTAAATTGTCAAAATTCTGTCTGTTACAACTGTGCAGAAATTGATTCAACACCTACCAGCTCTGTAGCTGCCATTTTTACTTCCGTAAACAGAGCGCGTTGTGTGTGACGTCTTCTTTTGCGCATGTGGGCCGCTTTGAGGGCTATGAACCGTTCACTCTAGAGCATGTTTGCTGTCACATTTTATTTGTAGTGTGAACAACCAGACAAAAATCGGAATTGAACATTAAGACCTGCAGTGTGAACGTAGCCTTAGAGAGGCAGATTTTCTTAGAAGTGAAGATGGGCAGAGTTTCACCAATCTGCAAAAACCTGCAACTACAAATTTTGACTTTGGAATAATATACCTCAATATGAAATTGAGAAGGCTGTGAATATTTCTTCATTATATTCAGTGCATAATGTCATGGAAAGATTCAGCGAATATAGAGAAATGTCTTTGTGCAAGGGACAAGGCTGACAATGAATATTGGATTCCTGTGATCTGCAAAGAAGTCATCATATAAACATGATGCAGATATGCACAATTCAGCAAAAATGACGCTGAACCGCATACTGCAGTCTGGGTGCCGCACTGGCTGTCTGTAGTCCAGCTCTTTCACCAACTGAAAACATTTGGAGCATTGAAAATCAAAGCAGATCCAGGACTGCTGAGCAGCCAGAATCCTCTAAGAATGGAAGGACATTCCTCTCCCAAAAGTCTGGCAGCTGCTCTCCTCAGCACCCAGACATTTACAGACTGTTGTTAAGTCATAAACATGGCCCTGTCCAAACTTTTTTAAGACCTGCAACAAATTCGAATTGACGTTTTTTTCTTGAAATGGTACATTTTCTCAGTTTGTAAAGTATGGGTCTGTGAGATTTGTAAGTCATTGCTTTCCAAAAAAAAAGAAAAAAAGAACAGGGTTTTGGCAAGTTTGGAATCCTTCCTTATGGTTAAGAACACTGTGGGATACTTTGATCTAGTATTGGGCTTTCTTGAACTGAAACAAGAACCAAAATGAAATAGATCAGTGAAACTCCTTAAGTCTAAATAAAACACATAAACATAATACGAATTTTAAGTAAAGCACAATAAAATTTAAAAATTGCCTGAGAAGTCGGGCTCAGAGTACTAGGATTGATTGTGTGCAGTCCCAACTACGTCTGTTCTTATTTACATTGTTGAGATAATCACTGCTCATAGTTTGACCTGTAGGGGGCAGCATTGCTCTGCACCATGATAGTTTTTGCCACACTGTGACAGTAGAGCTTTAAGAAGAGGTGTTTATGGCATATTTCTAAATGTTTTGACATTTGAGATCCTGTTTTCACTTCCTCCACCAGGCTCCTCCTGTGTAGTTTTGGTGGTGAATCAGTCCAAAACCTACACAGGAGGAGGGTGTTAAGGATATCAAGGGAGTCAGGACCACAGGAATGTTTTCTGTGGACATGATCATCCTGACTCCATGAGACGAGATCTTGCATGGGGCTCCAGACCGAGGGTGCTTGATGATCGTTTTATATTTTCCTCCATTTTTAAATAATCACACCCTACAGTTATCACCTTCTCACCAAGCTTTTGGCTGACGGTCTGGTAGCGCATTCCAGCGTTGTGCAGGTTTACAGTCCTGACATCCTATGCCAGCATCTTTGGTCTTGCCTGTAGTGGTGGAGAGGCTGGAATGGAAGAAACTGATTCTGTTGACACATGTGCTTTATACACATGACGAGTTTAGATCAGGGGTCATTGATTCTTGTTGACTCTGGTTCAGATCTTTTTCTTTCTACAGGAAGAGCTCTTTAGTTTCTAAGTGCCTCTTTAGCTAGCATTTGTTAACTGTTGTTTGTTTATGTGTGCGCGTAATCTATAAGGAACTTTATGACTTCACCTCTCGCCTCTGAAAACCAGCAGTTAATAACAGCGAGTACATGGGGAGCTTATGTAATAGATGTGCTGTAAGACAGGACTTTGCATGAAGTCGCTGTGATGCAATATGTGCAGGGTACTGTACATGTGTGGCTTTTTCCTGGAATTGCTGTCATTTCTTTTCTTTGAGTCTACATATTTTAGAAGAAATATGACACTTGTGATCCGAAGCAGAAGCTCCAAGGTTGTTTTTGTGTGCTAATCCAGGTTTTAAAAATGTGTCAGTCATTTGGTAAGAGGTTTGTTTAGATTTGGATTATGTGTGCCTTTTAACCCTCAAGCGACATAGATAAAAAGTGAGTAAAATGACAAAGTGGAATCATTTATGACAGGATTGTTGTGTCTTTCAGTGTGGATGTTGTTTCATCTGTGGCAGAAATGTTCTGTCATTAATTATGATTTTCAGGGTTTGGGGGGTTTTTTTTGTTTTGTTTTGTTTTAAAAATATATATATATATATATGTTTAAACAAAGATCTTGTCTTACTTCGTATAAACCAAATTTTACTTTGTTTCTATAGAAAATATGTATTGCAGTTTGTCTTATTTTACCATTGTGAATCCATTTCACCTGCTTTTGTGCAAATCGAAGTGGAAACGGGAGAAGCCACTGCAAGACGACCCTCAAAAAAACAAGAAAGGAATGGTTTTAGCACATAGTGGGCACAAACTGCTGCTCCCTCTGGTCTGATTTCACAGAAGCAATGAAAAAAACAAAAAAGCAGGTGCCTGCAGACCATTCAAGTTGCACAGGTTGTGCAACTCCTCCAGGATGCCAAACATATATATGCAGATAAGAGAGCTTGCTGTGTCTCGCATCGCGGTGTGACAAGAGTGGAAGGGATACCAGGACACAGGCTGTTGCGTGAGGAGAGGACTGTCAACCCAGCAGCAGGACCTGCATACATTATGTTGTAGCATCAAATTATTTTGGTGATTGTGTACTTTGATCAACCAGAAATTACAATGAAGTCATCATACTCAAGCTGTTATTCATCCTTTGGTACTTTGATGCTTCTGCAAATAAAATTAAGACCACAGGTGTCAAATATGTGGCCCAGGGGCCAAAACTGGCCCTCCAGTAGGCCCCACAAAGTATGCAAGTTACAGTAAATTAACTGTTTGTTTGTTTGTTTGTTAAATAAAATACACTGCTAGTCTGGGTATATTAGTACAATTTAAGTATTGCTGCAAAGCAGATGCCTAGACAGATTGTTTAATTAATGGTTGATGTTTGGATTAAAAAATGTCACATTTTAAGATTTTTTTT